TGGAGGTTGAAGGCGCGTGGCTATGGTGGATGGGTGTAGGTGAAGGAGGGAGATGGAGGTTGAAGGTGCATGGCTATGGTGGACGGTTGTAGGTGAAGGAGGGAGATGGAGGTTGAAGGCGCGTGGCTATGGTGGATGGGTGTAGGTAAAGGAGGGAGATGGAGGTTGAAGGTGCATGGCTAAGGTGGATCGGTGTAGAAGGAGGAGGGAGATGGAGGTTGAGGGTGCATGGCTATGGTGGAAGGGTGTAGGCGAAGGAGCGAGATGGAGGTTGAAGGTGCGTGGCTATGGTGGATGGGTGTAGGTGAAGGAGGGAGGTGGAGGTTGAAGGTGCATGGCCATGGTGGATGGGTGTAGGTGACGGAGGGAGATGGAGGTTGAAGGTGCACGGCTATGGTGGACGGGCGTAGGTGAAGGAGGGAGATGGAGGTTGAAGGCGCGTGGCTATGGTAGATGGGTGTAGGTAAAGGAGGGAGATGGAGGTTGAAGGGGCATGGCTAAGGTGGATCGGTGTAGGTGGAGGAGGGAGATGGAGGTTGAGGGTACATGGCTATGGTGGATGGGTGTAGGTGGAGGAGGAGGATGGAGGTTGAGGGTGCCTGGCTATGGTGGATGGGTGTAGGTGAAGGAGGGAGATGGAGGTTTAAGGTGCGTGGCTATGGTGGATGGGTGTAGGTGAAGGAAGGAGGTGGAGGTTGAAGGTGCATGGCTATGGTGGATGGGTGGAGGTGAAGGAGGGAGGTGGAGGTTGAAGGTGCATGGCTATGGTGGATGGGTGTAGGTGAAGGAGGGAGGTGGAGGTTGAAGGTGCACTGGTAGGGTGGAAGGATGTAGGTAGAGGAGGAGGATGGAGGCTGAGGGTACCTGGCTATGGTGGACGGGTGTAGGTAAAGGGGGGGAGATGGAGGTTGAAGGTGCGCGGCTATGGTGGATGGGTGTAGATGAAGGAGGGGGGTGGAGGTTGAAGGTGCATGGCTACGGTGGACGGATGTAGGTGAAGGAGGGGGATGGAGGTTGAAGKTGCTTGGCTATGGTGGTTTGCTTGCCCCGTGGTCCGCGACCAGTCCTATTCTACCGCCCAACTCCCTAGCCCTCTGGCCTCTTTCGTAGGTCGCTGGTTTTCGGCTTCGCGGGCCCCCTTGCAACAATGAAGGCGTTCATTTCGGAATCGTAGATTCTCCAAGACAGGAAGCAACAAGAAGTGGTTTGCCGACATTCACTCAAGCATTTAGAGCAGCAGAATGGTAGTGCGAACAACACCCTATCCCGGGGATTGACCGACGAAGCACCACCGGGTGAACAACATCCCGCCCATGCACGTAAAACCGCAAACTGACAATGTGAGCGGCACCCCACCCATGCATATGAAACAAGAAACTGACAGTATGAACAACGTCCCACCCGTGCACACGAAACAACAAACTGACAGT